CCGGGGAAGGCTCGTAATTCGTCCCCTTACATCTTGTTCTTAAATTACGACACAAGACGCAAGCCATTTTGGCGTTCATTCTTTTGGTCCTCATCTTCTTTGTTAAATTGTTAAAAACTGAACGAGGAATTTAGGTATAATTATACATTTTAATTCCATCATCCATCGGGCTCTTCTACCTTTAGGAATCTTCGAGGTTTGCCAACCATTTGAGAGCCGCGCCGGGGAAGGCTCGTAATTCGTCCCCTTACATCTTGTTCTTAAATTACGACACAAGACGCAAGCCATTTTGGCGTTCGTTCTTTTTGTCCTCATCATCTTTATTAAAATAATCCATCGGGCTCTTCTACCTTTAGGAATCTTCGAAGTTTGCCAACCATTTGAGAGCCGCGCCGGGGAAGGCTCGTAACTCGTCCCCTTACATCTTGTTCTTAAATTACGACACAAGACGCGAGCCATTTTGGCGTTCGTTCTTTTTGTTGAAACCATTTTTAATAACAATAAATTCATCCTCCTAATTTCTTCTTTCGCGATGTGTGAAACAGTAAAATCTAGTACTGACTTCATAGTAAGAACAAGTTCCGATTTGTAAAAGTTCTAATAACTATTGAATACAATGGTCGAGTTGTATTCTTGGTAGTGGAAAAGGTTATTAATTTTTGGGCCTTATCTGGAGGGGTGTGGCGGTGAACCTTGGAATATGTATGTGAAAAAAATGGAATATGTGTTTATAATTCTGGTAGAAATTATGCGAAATTTACTTTTAGGTAATATAAAATAATATAAAAATCATTCGCAAAAAAATTGAATTTATTTAATTTTGATTATAATACAAAAAATTAAGCATTAAAATTGACTTTTCAGAAAGACGTATTCTTTTTTTACTCAAAATATTTTTGTAATTAGAAAAACTGCGCTCTATATCTACTCTAGCTACTGGTAACCAAATATAAATCAATGCTATTTTTAATAAATTTGGTAATGTAAGACTTTTTTCTTTTCAATAATTATCTAAATCCAATTTTCCTTCTTCTATTATTTCCTCCAATCTACAATAAATGCTCCATTTATCTAATAAAACATTGGTAGAATTTTGAAATTCAATTATATTAGTATATAATAAAATATTTGTCTATTAATTTGAATATAAATAAATTGGGAATCAAAACATTGAATATCTCTAAATAAAGGTAATGCTGAATGATGTTGAATGTGTTTGTTCCATTTGTCTAAAGTAACTTGATATGCTTGTTTAAAATGAGGTTTAAATTCTAAGGATCAACATTATAATAATCACATTTTGCAATTATTAGATGAAAGTAGAGGATCATTTGTATCAAATTCTAATGCAGCTTGAGTTTGATTTATATGATTGGTAATAAAAGCTGCTAAAGGGTTATTTCTGATTTTAAAAAATTCTAAATCAGAAATAAAACTAAATCAAAATTAAGTTAATTAGTAAATTATATAATATTTTCAATAATTAATTTAAAAATCACTTTCCGGTTAGCATTAGATTTAATAAAAAGAACCATAATTTCAAAATTAAAAATTGCTATCCAATCCTAAAATGTTTTTGCTAAATCACGAATTACTTTGCTATTATTATCCAATTTCTCTTCTTTAAGAAAGAATTATACAATATATGGAATGTAATCACTAAGCCAAAATACAAATCTAAACCAACTATGCCAGCGCATTTTTACTGGTAATGGTGGTAAGGTAGGTAATATTAGGATTAGAAGTATCTAAATTTTCTAATGGAATTTCCAAAAAAGGAGGTAAAATAGGATTATTAATAGCATTTGAAGAAAGATAACTAATCCATCTTCTTTTTCTTGCAGAACTATAAATAAAACTACTTTTGATATTTGATATAATATTATCAAGCAATTGAAAAAAGGAAATCTATCCAACATTCTTCAATTAAATTCATAATATGAGCAAGACAATTGTTGTGTTTCATTTGTGGTATAATTAAGGATAAATTTTTAAAAGTTTTAACCATATAACTAGCATTATCAGTAATAAAAAGTAATATATCATTAAAGGAAATTTGGTATTTTTGTAGAGTTGATAAAATTATTTGTGATATTGTGGTATTATTTGCTACAATAACATATTCAGTAGCAACTAATTTGGTTTAATTTTTGAAAGTAAAAAGTATATTAACTGCTTTCCTTTCACAAGCATCGGTAATTTCATCTACAATAATACAAATTTTTTTATCTTTTAATATAAAATTTAATTTTTCAATTTCTTGATCATATACTTTTGGTAAAAACTTTTCATGTAGTTGATTAGCACCAACAATTGTTCCACCTAATAAATTTCAAATAAATAATTAATTAATTATGATAAAAAAATCAAAAAAAATAAATATCAATATCAATATGCTAAAACATACCATTTTTACAAAATTTATGAAAAAAAGGCCTTAATTTGTTAACCTTTTCTAAAAGAATGTCAGCTGCAGTAAAAACTTTAACCAATTCCAAATTAAGTTCATCTTTTTTAGCAATTGTATGTTCAAAGGTTTCAAATGTAATTTGTTGTTGCAGTGTATTATTTAATTGATTTTTTCGTTCTATACAGTCAACCCTTGATATAACAAATTTTATGTCCTGAACTTCAACTTCGTTATAGAGCTATAGTGAACTTTTTAAAGAATTTGATTGGCTAGTTCGTTATAACGAGGGTAAATTTAATATAGTTGTCCAAAAAATTCGTTATATTAAAATTCGCTATAGAGAGGTATGACTGTATACTGATTAGACGTATATATTTCATATTTTTCTGCATGTGGAAAAAGTTGATTTTCAGTATCTAGTATATGAAAATATTTATGAATTTATTATACTGTTTTTTACATTTATTATACATTTTTAAATGTATTATTTCTGTATACTTTCCTTATACAGATTATTTATAGGGAAGGTGTTTCACATAATTTTAATAAGGTTATTAATAGTATGATGTGAACCTGTGAAGAATTAAATTCAGACTGTATTATAGTTACTGTAAAATAAATCCTAGCAAAATAGTTTGTGAATGCTTTTTTTGACATGGATTTAGTCTAATTATTCCATTAAAAGGTTCAGTTACTGGGCAAAAACATGCTAAAATTATTAAAGATTATGTTGTATCTACCTTAAATAAGTATTCAAAAGTGGTAATGAATTTTCCAAGAGGATAATGCTGCATCACACTCAAAAGCAGCTGTGACTGCTTATGAGAAGGCTGAAATTTTGTCTAAATCCGATCAAAAACCTTTAGACAGAAATGAAAGTAATGGTTCATTGACATATTCCACCACTATCTAATTAAAGAACTTGAAAAATATATTTAAGGTGCATGAAAGTACATACAAATGGCAATAAAATTAATAAAATTAATTTATAATTTATAATTTTTTTTTGAAATATTCAATAATAAAGACAATATAAATATATTTATTTAAAGTTTTAATTATTAATATATTATTTATAATATAATTCTTTTTAATTAATACAGTCAAATGATGTTATCATAACCAAACAATTATACCGATATTTACTACTGTATGTTCTCTCAAAATATGGTGAGAAAATAAAAATATTTATCGTTATATCGCATTGTACATCGGATCGATAAAAGCTTTTTATGCTAATGGTGTCTCTCGTTAGTGATTAAACCTGAACGTGACGGATTACCGGTTGTTCTAGTTTAAAGAAGATTTAGGCAATTTCTTTTTACTTTAGTTTCTATAATTGTACCCGTCTTGATTTTCTTTAATTTTAGAAATTTGGGGGGGGGGGGGGGGGGAAGAGTCTTATTTGCTTTACAATCAGGATAATTTTTGTGTATAGAAAAAATGGGGGAAAATTTAATGAGATTATATAACGTGATTTTTTAAAAAAAAATAACGTTACAGATCATATGATTAATCGATTTTGATTTCTTCATTATTCTTTAGGTTCTAGGAAAGGATCGATTCAAGTATTCAATTAACCTTTTTTCTCGGAAAATTCAATTGGTTTTTTATAATTGATAATTGTTTCTTAAAATAATTAAATGTTCCATGGATAAAACTCGTTTTTATTGGATAAGTTTACCGGTGTTACATGTGATTCTGGAATACTGTGATTGTATAATAAGTATCAATATTATAAAAAGTTCTATCGGGGTCAGGATCCCGAAGTTTATTTTATGGTAATGGTAAAGTCACCTGACTTTTCTGTTGAAAGGTTTTTTTTAGGTTAAGAATAAAATTCATTTTTTTGTTTTCAACAACTTTTACTCGTGAAAAAATTGCGAATTGTTTTTCAGACAAGTTAAATAATAATTTTTTATCAACTAAAGTTAGAATTGAATTAATTGTATTATAATTTTTGCATTATTGATCTTTTTACAACCAAACTGCAGAGCTGCATGTGCCCGTTGTGATTGTTCAAATTCATACATGTAGCAAATTGTTGTACGAAATTAATCTCCAAAAATCATTATTTAAAACTAGAGTGAATTGTTTTAAACATTCAAATTTGGTTAAATGTTTCCATATTTAAATAATTATGTTGGTATTTTACAATAGCTAAGTTAGATCCCCGATCTGAATTTTTTTGTGAAACCAGTGAAAATAGGATAAATAATATCAGGATAACAAAAATCTCTGATAAACTTTTTTTCCCCTTCAATTATAAATTAAACCGTTTCAACACAACAAAGTTTAAAAAAAAAAAAAATAATTAAAATTTTTTTCTCATAACAAAATATAATGAGCTCAAGGCATTATTGTCCAGAATGTGACCAACGTTTAGGAGACAATACATGGTGGTGTGAATCTTGTCAACGAAGGCATTTTGAAGAAAATTTTGATAATTGGTCTACAGGAGATGAAAGTATTGATGATTTTATAAAACAAACTCAAACGAATGCCAAAGAATGTGATCAATATCTTGAATGGATCCCATTTTCAGCTTTTATTAATGTTAATAAATCAGAACTTTCCGAGGTTGGAACTTTATTTACCGCAAATTGGATTAAAGGTCCGAATGATACTTGGGATCCGGTAGAAGGTGAATACGTTGCTAGAAGGGGTTTACTTAAGGTCGCATTAACTTCCCTTGGAGGTTCCCCATCACTTTTCTTGAAGGAGGTAAGTTCTTTTTGTTTTTTGTTTTTTGAAATTTTACAACGTAACAAATATCTTAATCGAATTCCTCCTAATTATTATTATTATTGTTGTTATTTTCCAATGGGGGTAGTTAAAAATGCATTACCATTCGCGGATATATAATGGGCTTATTATGCGTCTTTTTGGCGTAACGCGAGAGTCAGTTACGAGTAATTTGATGATGGTGGCGGAGACGGTGGAGTGGGACGTACGTCACTACGTTTCACATCATCATACGCGTCTTACATGGCAAAATAAATTAGCCATTTTACATACGATATCTAGTGCTTTAGAGATCGTTAAAAGCGAGAAATCAACTCAACATACAATAAAATCTCATATTGAAGTTTCGGTTAATGAATTAGGATTAGGTGAAGGAAAGGAATTGATCCCAGTTATAGGACATTATAGATATGATCTCTTACCATTCATCGCACCTGAAATCATTGATGGGGAGGAGTATAATCCAAAGGTTGATGTATATACATTCGGGATGCTTATGTGGGAATTTTCTTCAAATAGACCTCCATTTTATGATCAACCTCACGATGCCAAGCTCATATCTTCAATTTGTAATGGGTTCAGACCAAATTTACGTCATGATACACCCGAATGTTATGGTGAATTAATGGAAAAATGTTGGAGTTCTTATCCTCAAGATAGACCAACAATTTCAGAAGTTGTAAAGAAATTAAGTGAATGGCACGTTTATGGAAATGATAAGGATCATTTTGTTAATGCCGAATCAAAAAGGATTAAAAGGGTTTTGGCTAAAGGGTTAAACCCTAATCCTGCTGGAAGAATGGTCGCTCCTCCTAAAATACATCCTCAAGCTATTTATACTAGTAGATTATTAAAATTTCCCGCCCTTCCCGTTCCGAGAAATTCTCCAATACCAACTCCAAGACGATCTCAATCTCATAATGAACATGATTATGGACGTACGCAGATGAGCAATCAAGATTTAGCCGCAATTCTTATTCGAGATGAAAGTTTCTTTTCAACCGGATTACTTATGCAAAGACGTTCACTTTATCCCGAAGAAGAACCCGAGTCAGAGGATGAAGATATCATAAAACAATACGAACTTTCCATTCCTTCTAATTGTAAGTATAGTTCTTCTACTAGGGTTTCATATGTAATTTCTTATACTAAAAAAAAATTTCATTTCAATAGATAATAGTTTGGATAATTTCGGTAGCACAAGCAGTTCCAAAAACATAGAACCACCATCTAAAAGCCTCACAATTATAACTGAACACATGACTGATGAACCAGAAGTCTCCGAAGAATTAATTCGAACGCCAATTACAAGTTGTTTAAGCCCAACCACCTTTAACATAATTAAAGAATAATCATAAAATTTTCATTTATATAAACATAATGTACATTAGTTTTTTTTTTTTTTTTTAGCTAATACGTGTGCTTTTATTTTTTTTTATGTATGTATTATATATACATAAGTTTTTAGAATTTTAATAAAATTATAAAATGTGAAATTTTTTTTAAAAATGAATGCTATTACAAAGGAATATTTAAAGTTTTTAAAAATATATTATAAAATTTTTTGAAGTTCCTCGAAAAAAAAAAATTATCAACCAACAAAAATAAAATAAAAATCATGTTACCCATCAAACCACGCTAATAATTTTTTTGTTGTTTTAAAGGAGTAAGTCGAATAGTTAGAATACATACATAAATGAAAATAAGAGGAAAGGAATAGGTAAGGATAGGAAATTTTCTTCTATGATACGTAAATATTTTAAATCTCGGAATTTCTTGTTTGTAAACTGTGTATGGTCTAATACGCGCTTCTATAGATAAATATAATAATATAATAATAATACACAAGCTAAATATACACCTGTTATAACTTACAAATAATAACAATCTAAACTCTAGAGAATATAAACCATAATATAATTATAATAATACACTTAAGACAAAATACATAATACAAGTGAAGCGCTTTTTAAGACCTCAACAAATACACAACAGATGAATTTTTTTTTTTAAAAAATCGCAAGATCGTAAAGGGGAATAAAAATAAATAATACGAAAAAAAATGCAAAATATACAACAAATGATAGGTTATTTGTTTTAAGTACCACTACCGTGAAGAACATGTGCGCGAAATAGTGACGAACGGTTAGGAGGTGCTTGGATAAGATATGATGTTATATAGTCCATTCATTAAGTTGTGCTAGATCTAAATGGACCATACAACACTCGTTCCTAATCACGAAAAAAATTAACAAGTGACGACTACTCCTTTTAGGTTTATTTTTTTTCCTTAAAAAAAAAAACATGGATTCTTAAATTAAAATAAGATTACTAACCAAAAAGCTTCTTCTTCTGCTACTTTCACGACGAATCAATTTGGACAATTCAGCCACTCTTCTTTTTGCAGTTTCGTGTCCGTTATTAGCCGCTCTAGTATACCATTCAAGAGCTCTATCTAGACTTTTCACCGTTCCTCTTCCATATTCAAAGCAGACTCCAACGCGGCATTGCGCTGTCGCGTATCCTTTATCCGCAGCTTCTTTAAAAAATTCAAAAGCTTTATAGGGGTCTGTTTCGGTTCCAAATCCAATATCATAACACCATCCCACATTGTTGTGTGCTGATACACACCCATAGTTTGCTGCTCTTTGGAAACTAAGAAACGCTTTATTCGGATCCTTGGGAGTTCCCATTCCTTTATAATGACACCAACCTACAAAGACAAGTCCTCTTGGATCACCTAACTCCGCCGCTTTAGCATAATATTCAAATGCCATTTTCGGGTCTTTAGCCTTTCCAAAAGCATGTTCTTTCATGAACCCATAAGCAAAATAATAATCGGCAGACTTTGATGGGTAATTTTCGAAGATTGTTAATAAATCTTTGGGTTTCTTATTTTTATCGTAGCATAGATTTTCAAATTTCCTTTTGATAACATCATCAGTGAATTTCTCCCAATAATCACATATGTTAAAAACTCCTTCCATCAATTCTTGATCTGCATCTGTAATTTTTAATATATTTGTTTCAAATGGAGGAGGTTTAGGGATTAACGGCGAGCCAATCAACGTACTCTGTGATTTTCGATCAACTCCGGAATCACGTCTATGACTACTAGAAACGCTATCTCGCTTATTGTTACTACTCTCACTATAACGCCTGTTGTTACGATCAATATCATCTAATTTGGGACTCTCAGCTCCCATTGGGTTTTTATCCTCGTACAATGTTGGGGGGGAAGTAACCAACGATTTCTCAAGAATTTGATAATTAATATTATAAGTGTTATTATTATCATTATCAGGTGATGATGATGAAGTAGGTGCGCTATCATTAATATGACTGGGAACTAAATATCGATAAACGCTTGATGATATGCTTAATGGCCTTGGTTCCGTTGATCTTTCAGTATATGTAATTTCCTTGTCACTTGCAAGTGTGCTTTCAATTGTTGTGGATGTGGTGGATGGGGATACTGGCTTGCTGCTTGACACGGAGTAATCACGTTCTTCATCAGAAGAATCCAAATCATCAACGGGTAAATTGTCTTTGTACTCGAGGGTCTGCTCATCATCATCATCGTCCTCATCGTCAAACAAGGATTCCAATTCAAGTCGTGCATATGTCAGTTGACGTCTTTCACACGGAACGTATAGCGTCATATCAAATATAAGCTGGTTGAAACTTTGCGGCGTGTCCGCAGGAAGTTGCTCCAGCAAGTAATATATTGCTTGAGTCTTTCTTTTATGTTCTCTAATTTCATCATCATGCATTCCTTCGTAAGGGTGCTCTCCGTCCTTGGCAACTACATTATTCATTTTTTATAGTTAATTCAAATGAGCGTGTAGGATGCTTCATATACGAATTAGTTCGCGAAAAATGAAATTTTACCTGACCACAATATCAACCCATATGAATATATGTCGGAAAGTTTTGGATGGCTAATAATAATACGGAACAAAATAAATAAATCATATTTCATGGGAAATTATTTGAACAAAGAAATTAAAAAGGGATGCCTACTTGTCAAAGAATTCTCTCATTTTCAGTTCCAAACATACGCGTTCCGGTGCCACATAATTTAAAGTGCCACCAGCTTTTCCATTATCCAACACCATCTGACTCTTTGTCTTGGAAATACCAAAATCGGCCAACTTTGGAACACAAGCCTGGTCCAGCAAGATATTTTCGGGTTTAAGATCGAAATGTAGTACATTATTTTCGTGACAATGCATTAGTCCGAGTGCTATGTCTCTGCAAATTCTTGCTTTTTCACTCCATATTACTGTATGAGATTTAAGATAACTCGATAAACTTCCATTGGGCGCGTATTCCAATACCAATGAAAATGTATACCGATCTTCTCTTATCACTCCGAAGAATTTTAGTATATTGTTGTGATTTTGTAATTTGAAGTAGTTACTATATTCCTTTAGTAATATATCTATTTCTCGCTACAAACAAAAAAAATAAATACTAAATGAATAAAAGGTGTTTCTTTTTAAATAAAATAAATTTTCTTTATGCTGTTCCTTCTTTACCTGACTCCTTTTAACGACCACAGGTTTTCCCAGAAAATTGGCCAAGTATACTTCTCCCATTGCCCCTCGGCCAATAACAAGTGGAGGCTGACTCAACGTAACCTTACTCTTTTTTATTAATATTCTATTTGTTGACATATTTTCTATATATTTAATTTATCACTCTAAATAATTATCTTGTATTGACAAACAGGAAACGAAGGGCAAAGGAACAGGAAAAAAAAAAAAAATAAAAAAAATAAAAACACGACTTTGAATTTTGACTGTTTATCTGAATTAAGTTGGTTATCTATTTGTCGTAACTATGACATATATATTGTGACATACAAAAAAAAAAAAATTTTTTTTGGGAATCGAAAATAAAGGAGAACGATTCTTGAAACTTTACGGGGAGGGAAGGGGGTATCATCAAAGAATTCGGATTCTTTGATGGTCGTAATTTCTGTGATTTGAAATCATTGTTTCTATTTACAACTTTATATGGATAAGGTTGGGACGAGATTATCGTTGGGGATCTCAAAAATGTCCAAGTTAAATCTATTAATATAACTATTAAAGAATGAAGTCATTCATTTCTTGGTCATTTTGTTGGATAAATATTTTTTTCATGCTTGTATTAAAAGATTAAAAATGTGATTGAAATTTTTTATACGCTTCTTTTTTTTTTTTTTACGAGAAATTTGAGCTTTTCTTTTCATTTTCTTTTTTTTAAAAAAAAAAAAATAAAAAAAAAATAAAACAATGAAAATTTAGTTCGGAATCACACTTTGCGTGCCCTTTAGTTCGATAAATAAAATGCATTGTTTTTTATTGTTATCGTAAACCAAATCAAAACTTTTCTTCACTACCATGTATGTTAATTCACATTATTCATGTTTGGACAATATAACAACGACCCAGCAAACAATAGAAATCCTAGCTTACAAGTAATCTAGCTGGTCAAGTGTGTGAAAAAATTGAAAAGTTCCAGGGTTCAAATTTTTTGAATTTATGATAATGTGGTAAGGATTACCCTCTAATTATACGTTCTAACGATAATAGTATTTTTCTTATTATATTCAAGGTTAATCTGCATTTAATGACACGCTAACAACGATAGTCGGGTTTTTTTTTTAAAAAAAAAAGACGTGTTGTAAGAAAGATGCATTTCAAATAAACGTTATAAGGGATCGAATGATATATAATTTTTTTTTTATTTTATTTCTATTTCTAAATGCCGGGAAATATAAAATTTCTTCTAAATTTCGAAGGTTTTAGTATGATAATTCCACAAAGATTTCGTCATAATTCCAAATGCACAATTACGTTTCAAAACGATTTATTTTCTATGACACAATTCATATTTTTTAAAAAAATTAAATAAATGAATAATTCAAAAAGACAAGATGATTCTTGTCTAGATTATCCTTTATAAAACTTTCTATTATTGGTAAAAAGGCGTATCATTTGTGAGGGGGGGATTTATTTTAATTGTTTTTTGTGGCAAGTTAATTGAATTAAAAAAATAAATTAAAATGCGGTGGCGTACCATTCGGCAATTTCTTCGATAAAGACACATAGTTGACGGTACGTATATGTGATGTAGCTTTGAAAATTCATATATGTATGTAATGTTGCGCAAGCCACAAAAGAGAAAAGCTTTTTTCAATGCCATGTACACGTTTACAGTAATTTGAGTGTACAAAGTTTACTTTTGCATTCATTCAAGTTCATTTTACGAACTTTTTTAAGTTTAGTTTGAAAAATACAAATAAATAATTTAGGTAATGTCAATAAAAAGTTTTTAACGTGATGAATAATTAAAAATTAGGGAATGTTTTTAGTGTAACTTTAAGTTTTCAGCCATTTTAATCAAAATCACATCATTGTTTGCATTAAAATATTTTAAAAAAAGAATTAAGGGGTCAATTCCAATTACCATCAAATTCCATACGAAGGTTTAAAGAATATAAGGATTCGTTTCTGACACCTTATGTTCTATTTCAATGCAATAAACATGATTATAAAGAAAAAAGAATTAATTTGGAAATAAATGAATTCTAAAAAAAGTATAAAAAAAAGGAAAGTTTCGCGTTCTTACATAACGCATTATCACGTGACTTTCCCATTGGAATTCAATTTTTTATGATCTGCAAAATTATCGACCTTCCCAATTAGCAATAAATTCAAATTTATCTCGACGCGAAGGTTTCTACGCATTTTTTTTTTTAAAACAAATTGATAATATGTTAAGATACTTCTAACATTCATACATGTATATTAGAAAGTATTTTTATTATTTAAAAGAAGCCGGGAAAAGAAGATGAAATTGTTAACTTTGAAAAGATAACATGCTGTATTAAAGCGTTTCATTTATTTAATTTATAGTGGAGAATCTTTTACTATCATAATATTAATTAATGCGCAAAAGGAATAAAGGTTTGATTAAAGAGTTAAATAAATAAATCTACCTATAAAACTAAAAAGAACGACACATTCTTTTATTAAATAAAGAAAAATCTAATAAATAACAAATCCTAATCGAATATAATCGAACCTATCTATAAAATTTTATAAATAAAAAGTGTCGGTAACATTAAGACTTTTTAAAATTTCAATAGCTTTGGGTTGTTTTAAAACGGCAGCAACTTTCAAATATTTGGTACCAAGTTCCTCATCTTTTTCCACACCGAACTTTCCATGCAAATAAACATCACCCAAATTAAATAAAGCCAAAGCGTTACCTTCATTTGCAGACATCTTCAAAAATTTCAAAAAACCTTTAAGGTTCATCCTCTCTCTGTTAATAGCACTAAAGGCATACCTTAATTGCGCATCAGCATGACCGTTCTTTGCGGCTTCTTTATAACAGTTTATAGCGCGTACATGATCAGCCGAAGTATAATACCCTTCCCATAAATAATAACCTTGCCAATATATCGCCGATATATTGCCTAATTGTGCATTTGCTTCAAAACATTTCCATGCCAATTCCTTATCTCCTTTTTTATGTGCATTAATTCCATCGGATAATGGAGCTATTGGCACAACAGTACTATAAGTTTGATTGAGCGAAAAGTAAGAAGAAGAAGAAGAAGAAGACGTGGAATTTGTTGGGGAATGATATTCTTGAGTCGGAAGATTATTTCTCAAGATGACATTATTGATCTGTTGATTATTGTTTGTTTTTATAATGACATTTGAGTTTGTACATAAAACATCTCTCTTGGGAACTTTGAAATTGTTACTAATCATAGAACTTGGCCTCTTCTGTAATGAATTATTTTCTCCCATATAATAATTGCTATATAAAGCATACAACATATCAAAAAATGTGATGATATCTGGTCTATCATCTGGATCTTGCTGCCATGCTTTATATTGAAAGTAAATAAATATATATATTTGAAATAAATAAAAAAGATCATACTTTGGAAAGAATTCAATATCTCACCAGCTTCAATTAGATTTATAAAACCTTGTTGAATAACAGATTGATCCACACCAAGGTTAATTTCCTCCCTCTTGCCACTTAACACATGATTTTGCACTGTTGCAATTTGCCAATCTTTGTATGGTATCCTTTGAAATGCAAGCTCCCATAGAAGCATTCCAATACTGAAAAAAGATACAAAAATTAATGCAAAAGATAAAAGCATGGAGTAAGAAGTTTGATGCAAAGACCTACCTAAATATTTGAGATTTGCTTGTATACCTCCTTGAATAACTTTGGATGTCTATTATTTCAGGAGCTAGGTAATACACATCCTTTAACCAATTTGCATAAGCATTGTTATTATTGATGGAAGTATTTTTATTAATAGATAAATTGATGTTTGTGATCTTTGGTTTCATATTTTCAGTCATTAAAATATTATCACATCTAATGCTCTTATGGATGATATCACAACAATTCAAAAAAATCAACCCAGATAATATGTCCGAAGCAATCCTCAATTTTGTGGACCAATCAAGTTCATACTTCTCATAGACCTCTGATAATTTTCCCAACTCGGTCCATTCATAAACCGTATAAAAATTTTGATTTAATTTCGCCATTCCATAAAATTGATGAATGTGCTTGCATTCATTTCCTAATTTCATTTTAATATAATCCATAATAATATTTTTTTGATAATCAACCGTAACATATGGAATTGAATCCGCCGGAATTAATGAAACTTTCTTTTCTCGCCTAAATATTTTCTTTAAATATTTTCCCGTCGGTTGCTTATCATCACTGGGAGGGTCTTGAAGCTCATCACTCGTTATTAACTTTGGTTTCCATTTGTCATCAAAATTCGTATTTTGTTTATGTACTTTGGATTTTAATAGTATGAGTTCCAAGATTGTGGTGTTTACTTGATAATTTATATGATTGTTTTGTGTTATTATAGTTGCTACTCCACTGTTGATATTCTCGAAAAACTTTAAAAGAAGGAAGTAGATTTTAAAATTTTTCTTTTTTTAAAAAAAATAAAATAAAATAAAAGAAATGGGCAACATTTCTCACTTACTTTCATTACGTTATTAAATTCTAACCTAAAAACCTTTAAATCCTCTTGACGTTGTTCGTCGGAGTTGAATATCACGTGTAAAAAATCCAATTCTTCTATGACATGATCAAAATCCTCGATAATCTCACGAAATTGCTTTTTGATACTATAAACCTCAGTTAACTTTCTAATATTCGATAATAAAGTGACATCTTGAATAAATTTATCCATACGTTTCAATGTGTTAAAAAGTCGAAGGAACGATTGATAAAATTTCTTGCTAAGAAATTTTTCTAAATTATTGGATTTGCTTCTTTCAAGTTGTTTAACGATTAAACCGATGGATTCCGCACGATTAATCAAAGCTAGACATATCTTCTTATTAATTTGAGCATTTTCGTAACTGTTGACGATATCTTGTATAATTGAGGATACGTTGATGAATAGGGGTAGGTAAGGTTTAACCGCCTCTTTAATTGAATTTAAATTGTCAAGGTATAATTTCGTAACCTCGGGTTCAATCGTAGATTCCCTAGCATATGCTATATAATTCGTCGTACACTCGGATGCTTGTGAAACGGCTTCTAGTATATCATTACTTTGTGACATTTTTCAAACGAAAAAAATTATATATTTATATATGCCAAAGTTAGGTGTAACTAATAAAAATTAATTTTTGTATGTTTAGGGAATGAATTTATTACGTTTCAAGAACAAAACAAGTTGTTTCGAGTTTAAGATTATTTTTTTTTTAATTAATTAGAATCTTGTTTTAGACAAGATGGGCAATCTTTTGTCGTACTTTTGATTTTTTTTGATCTAATTCATTTAAAGCTTGATTCTTTGTTTCTGTTATAATGTTTAATTGGTAGGAATTATTCTTGGTACATTATCTGCAAAAATTCACGTTGATCTTACTATGGGCGTTTTTTATTTTATTTTTTATATTATCCTTTTTATTTTTAGAGTTTCTCTCATTCAAAGGAAAAAAAAGATTTTTTTTTTTAATTTTATTCTGATCGAATTTGTATTTATATTGAAGGATTTCTTTATTGAATTCCTTATTTGTGGAAAGTTGTATGGTTGGTTTGAACATTGAATCAATTGCTTTATTTATGCTTCATTGATTTACCGAAATTAACCAATGATGAACATGATCCGATCCGCAGTCATGGTTAATAAATCATTTTTTGAGGTCCGTGGCCATAAGTTACGTTTGAAATTCCAAATAAACATGTACGCATTATTAAAAAATATGCAATCCTTGTAAAACATTCATCTAAACCAATCATTTTTCACGATCATCTTTGAAACAATAAATATTTCGCGTCATAATAAATAAACAACTTTCTTTGGAAATTTGAGTAACGCCATCAATTTCGCTATAAACTTTTTCTTTTGTTCATTTCTCATTAATCCGAGAATACCTTTTATCTTCAAAGAGGGAATTTCGAATCAATTCCTGAAGTGGTTTTTGTCTATTTTAAATAGCAGAACGAAAAATTTGTGTCACGCCGTTTTAAACTTCCCAATCTTGATATTTCCATCCATAAGATGATCGTAACGACACCTGATTTCATAAATGAAAAAAATCAATTAAGATAATACATAATATTTCTTCTTACCCTGACAAAAGAAATTTTATTATTTATAATTATTATTTGTTCTATTCATTAGTAAGCTCTAGAAATGATATAAAGCAAGGCCTAATGAATCAAATGATACTTACTGACTGCATATGGTAAAAACAAGGTTGTTAATTACTAATGATTTAACCTTGTAAAACATCTTCCAACCATCGCGATATTAATCTTCGTTTTTATTTTTAAAAAAAAAAAATTGAAATTGAAAATTTTAAATTTAATAAGTTTTGCAGCCGAGATTCAAAATTCGACTGAAATTGTGTTTGAAATTGAATTAGAAAAATTTGATTTATGATTTGATATTAATGTATCATCAAAATTTGGTTCAGTTATTCGAAAATAGCGGAAAAGACTCGGTCAACAACACTAACCATCAGTTGACAAAGTATTCAAGTAGTTTAGAAAGCAGAATGTTAAAATTCGATACAATCTTTGCCAGTTATTTCAGCAACAAGACTATATATGTCAATACGAATATGAAAACCGAAAATCTCAGGGTAAACAAGAAATACCAGTAAAAAAGAAAAAAATATTTCTTTTTAATCAAAAAGGAATAAATGTTATATACATTTTCAGTTTCTTTCTAGGTTCACTCCTATGAGGAAACCACACTCAATATAAAAATAAACTTGGAGTGAATAGATAGATATTATTTACAGAACAATATTATGAACAGCTTAAAACTTAGACAAAATTATCCCAATATGGTTTTCCTACCAAATTTAATAATAAAAGTATTTTCTTTAATAAAAGCTATAGTTTATAATAATTATTTTTTTTTTTATATATTATTAAAAAACTTTATAAAATTTATATTTTTTAAATATTATTTATTATAAAATAAATAAATCAATAAGTTTAGAATGAAAATCATTGCCATTTAAGGGATTAAACTCGGGGGTCTCAAACACGTCGAAATTTGAAACCATGTCAAAGTCGATTCTTGCCATTTACTAAAATAAGAATACAATCTCTATATCTCTATAAATGCACATTTTTCTCAATTTGCGTATGGCCCCAAGGGTGCATGAATAGAGTCAGTTCATTGATCAAGAGTTAAATTTTAAAGATTGGTCCCTAAAATTCTATCCACTGAACTTTAACAAAATAAAAATTAAAGAATTATTGCTCTCATTTCATATAAATCATTACTAACAAGGTTATTCCATCTTTATGAGCATTTTATCATATGAACGGCTACCATTGAGTTGTCTTCATTATTTTGTAAGTCTTGGCGTCCTCTTCGTCATTTAAACAAAAGTGACAGAAAATCTTTTCAAGTATGTTTTATTATGTAAATTGATCACATGATTTACTTCGTTGACGTGTATTTTTTTCACATCAAGTATTTTTCGACTACAAATGAATGGCTAATAGCTCCATACATTAATTTAAAACCGAAATTACGCCGGTATTATCTAAAAAAAGTACGCAAACTTTGTAGTTTTTATCTTTAAGCAATGTTTGTTGCCAACCGAATCATTGCTAATATTACACTATTTGCGATTCTCTTTTTCTTTTTTTTTTTTAAAAAAAAAAAACTCGCGGCTATTATTTCAACGCAAAACATACCTGAACCCTGATAAACATTTTTATAAATTTAAAAAATAAAATACAAAGATAAATAAATATTCGCTGATAGATATAAGCGAAAGAATGTCCCGATTATAAAGATTCGAAAGAACGCGATTGAATTATGTATGATGGCGGTCTCGTGATACGCGAAAACTCGTCTAATTAGAACATTACTTATACAAGTCCTTTATTCCTTGCACCTTCGATCATTTTCGGTGCCAGTTTTTTTGCCAAATGCAACGCCTCTTCTCTCCATTGGATTTCATCTTCATTGAATTTTCCTCTTATAGGTTCTGCCAATTCTTTCAGTGTTACATCAAACCATTCATTAGCTTCTTTCATTTGTCCGAGTCTAGCGTAGCGAGATGCAACTTGATATGCGGCATTGCTAGTTAAATGTAACAATTGTGCAGTTTTCAAAAAATTGTATACTTGCTTCGTAATAGGAAGAGATTGTCGGAGTTTACCGATTTTAACGTAGGCCATTGCCAAATCTGACTTTGGTTCGTATGCCAGAAAATTTAGATCTGGAAGATCTTTTCGTAGCTCGTTTGATTCAGCGATCAAGTCATTTAATTCATTGATTAGAGAAGGATCAAAATAAGGGCTATGAAATGATAATCGCAATTGAGGACCGAGACATTTTTCATAAGTTGCAAAGAGTTCGATACGTCGAACTTTAGTTCTAAATGATTCGACTCTTTCAAATTCACAAAGTCGACATTGACAATTTATACCATATGACTTCAGTCGAGTAGATCGCTCTTCATAAAATTGCGCCGGTGAACAATATGTTAAAATTAGCTCCTCGTCTTTCAAAATGGGTCGACAACTTCTCAAAATCATCATGTCTCCAATAATAATATGTTGAATATTTATATCAACACATGAGTGGTTGAAATAAGATGGTAAGATCCATAACCCCGCTCCGTAATCTTTGGTTAATCGACTATCGTTTCCGGAATAATATAAAATATCCCATTCATCCCTCGGTTCGAAAAAATTGTATTTAACAATTTTTTCGATTCTTTTCATATTCACCGAATGTAACGATTTTTCGTCGAGATATTCCATAGGAACCATTTCTGGGCCGGCATAAAGTTGATACACTTCCTGGCAAAGTTCCGGTTCTGCTATGAGTTCCCGAGCAATGCGGGTCGATAATTCTAAATGCGTTGCCGTATTCATGACTTCGTATCCACGAGTAAAATCAATACTTCTAAAACTTAAAGGAGCTTCATTACCATATACCACTTTGAATGCCTTGGAAACCATCACAAGAGTACCTTCAGGTATGTCCCGCTTAGCAACCCAACCTCTCCCTTTTTTTTTCACATGACGAATCTCGATATCATCAATCAAGTATTCTGCATGGTCCAATCTTGGCCCTTTTCCGCAGGCCCAATCATCATTGTCTTGATTAATTACAATCTTTTCGCAATACTCATCAATGATACTTTTGTAATCATAACGTCCATACCGGTTTTCAGAATCAAACATTTCCGCACGTTTTAACAATTCTTTAACGCTTTGCTTAATGGAAGTGATTAAATTATCATCACATTCAGTTTTTGTTTGCATCCTTAAATTTAAATCTTTAAGTGTGATTATGGATTCTTGATAACTTTTAAGACCAATTAAAGCTTTGCCTTTACGAATAGCTGCTTTCATATGACCGGGATCACGCTTGAGGATTTTCTCTACATCATTGAGAGCTTTTTTAAATCGATCCAACCTCAAATATGCCTCTGCGCGGTTGGCAAGCAAAGTGGCGTTATGTAGCCCATGCCTGATACCAGTCGAATATTCGTCAACAGCTTGGGCGAAATCGTTTGAAATAAAATATTTATTCCCTTTCTGGTGGCATTCATCTGGTGTCCCGATCCTCTTCTCATCATCAACTGATACTTTATATACTTTATCCTTTTCATTGACATTCATCCCTTTCCCCAGATCATTGGACCACTTTATTTTATTAAACCGCTCATCATCTTGATCGATTATAATGACGTCATCAGGGACATCTGAGCGAATGAGCGAGTCAAAATCGGTGTTAATTCTAGGACCTTCTATATTAATTAAGGTATCAAAACTAGAGGCAACTTGATAATACGGATTCTTGATTGCAAGTTTAGTTCCTATAGGTAGAAACTTTGAAACTTGATTAATGGAAAGTACTTTTTCCCGAACTTTGACGGGAAGAGCGGTGTGTTCGACCCAATTATATAAAGCAATTCGTTCAATCTCGCCCTCAGGATCTTCTATAAGGGTAAAGAGAGGGCCCAACTTTGCACATCTGTTTATCACTCGACACAACAAAAACCTTCCAACGTGTACTTTATCTAATGTTAAGTTTGCTATGGATATTCTATTTTTTAAATTGTTACCGATATTGATACTTTGAGAATTTGTCATATATTCAAAGTTGTTGGTTGTGATAAGGTGATGCATCTTTTTGTTAGGCATTCGTTCTATAATCTTCAACCATTTTTCATAGTTTACGATAATATCTTTCCTGTTATTTCTTTGTTCAAAAAAATTTAAGTTAACTTCCATTTTAAGTTGTAAAATAAGTGAAACTGGATTATGGATATGTAGTTCCAAAGAGACTTATGAGAAGATAATATTTCCTAATATTAAGTAACAAAGATACTTTTGCGGATGTACACCAAAATTTCTAGTAGATATCAATACGTAATTTATTTTTATAATATTTTAGGAATGAAAAACAGTTTTTGAGATTTTCCGGCTGCAACATATGATAATTGTGTAACAAGGTTTCCTGTAAAAAAAAGAAATGGGGCATGGCTAACTATGAAAAGTTAGAAGACCGAGAGATCTTGCATTCTTATACTGCTACACCACCACGATAAATATGAAAATTAGCAATATATTTTATACATTTTCTCGCCTCTAATTATATTATACGAAGCATTTAACAGCAGATATTCAAAGTACTTCATGGGTGAGCTGATTGTTTAAGATAAGCAAATTGTACATAAATCTTGCACAATCCAATGGGTTGAGTCAAAAATCACTAGATCTTGACATATGGGCATTTGCATTAAAAAGAGAGGAAACTACAAAAAACGATGTCAACAAGATAAAAAAAATCGAACGAGTCGATTTGTCGATTTGATGTCACGTAAAATCATAAGTTAGATTATAGGAATAATGAAATTTAATACAATCGCGGTCTCATAATATTTAATTTTGTGTCAACGTAGCTTTATTGCAAATTCCAACTGTTCATCCTTTATGCTGATGATGGGCACTCTATTAATGCATAAAATATGGGAAAAAAACTGAAAACTGTCCTAATCTTAGTTGGTATTTTGTTTAACAGTTAGCTTAAACCTAACATAGCAGCTAAAATCTTGACTTTCAAATATATTTTATTCCTTTGAATGTATAGCCTGCCTTTTCTTTGAAATAATTCAAATTAATTTTTGTTAATGAATTCGTGATATTCCTGCAAAAAACGACTCTGAATTCAAATGTCTATAATAATAATAATGGACATAATCATTTTTTGACTTTGAAATATTACAACGGATCCAAACCATATCCTATTTACTAAAAATACCAGAATAATTTACATTTATTTAAGATTCAAAGTTGTAAGATGAATAAATCAAAGTGTTAACAAATATAAGAATAATTTATAATTGTAAATGTTTTAAATACGCGTCACCTTGCTATAAATAGGGCATAATATATTATATGGAGTGTTGCCAGTACGGTTCATATGATTTATTTATTTGATTTTACTGGAAACATTCCCAAATAATCTCTCTCAAATTAAATGCAGTTCCACACCAGCTTTTTTGGAATATCTTGATTCCCATTTAGCAACTCTCCAATCTTCTTCATCTCTAATAGCAATAATAACGCCCTTCCCATTTTTATACGTTGTCAGGTTGGAATTAATATTAAAATGAAATCTTTCTGCAATGGTCTGTATTATTCTATCAAGACTAATTCCTTGTGGTACAATGACTCCTCCACGTTCTGCATTCATGAAAAATTTCACGTATATCTGTAAAAGATGATTAATCAAATAAATGTTTAAATATGAAATCGAAAAGAAGAACCTTTATCATACCTCATCACTTAAATTAGCAGAGTCGTCCTATTTAAAAAATTTTAAGTGAAAAAGATCTTTCATTATAATAATTTAACATTTAAACACATACTTGAACGCCGGGAATTGTGTTGTTTGTTAAAGATATATCAATTCTGTATTTTCCAATAATGTTTTCAATCATAAGCAAATTTGCAAGGTTGACATTCTTTCGTGGTATAATAAGCAATGATGCTGCCTTTTCTAACAAACCATTAGTTGGATCCACTCTTACCTCAATGCCATTTTGATAATACTTTGTCACAAATAAAATAAAAAGGTGGTCAATTTTGATGAATTGAGATTAATTTACTTTATATCAATATATTTACCCTTCTTTTAAAGTTGGGTAAAAGTGAGACTTCTAGTTCTTTATATTCTGCAATTCTAAATCCTGTAAGCTAAAAAAAATTATTCGTCTTTGAGAAATTTGCATATACAACTAAATTGAGGAGTTTTATGTCTTTACATACCTGATCGTACGGAATGAAAACCTCATTTTTTAATGCGTTCAAACACAGGCTCATTTCATTAGTAGAATGATGAAAACGTACGGCCATATTTCCATCATCAAAAGAACCGATTGTAGGTCTGATTTTAATCAGTTTACAATCCAGACGATAATATTCATTATGCTGGGCACAACTAAATGTGTGTGGACCTAATGATTGTTATTTTTAATATGAAAATTTATTTTTACGTGTTTATCTAAAGTCGTGTAACAAAGAAAATAATTGTTTGCCTGGCTTTGCGCTTTTGCTACTACTACCTATGCTAGCAGTATTAAAACTTCTTCGGTCACCCATGGATAAATAAAGGAACTTAAAAAAGAAAATATGATCTTATCGAAAATTTTTTTTTTTACTATTTTTGTATAACCGTCGATCTTTCGAATATAAGATTCGATTAAATAATTAACAGATTTTGGATATTTTCATAACCAAATCCTTGTCCAAAATATTTAAAGTAAAAATGTATCCAAAACCCATAAATATAGTCTAATGCAATTTTGGTATTTTTAATCAAATCAATAGTTAAAAGAATTAGGGTTATATTAGCTAATATATCACGTGCTGCCGATCATTTGCCTTTTTAGATTCTTAAGTTTCAAAGTTGAATAAATCAAAGAAACTAAAAAATATAAAATATTTCGATTTGTAATTTTAAATTGAATGATTTATTTCAAATAAATCATTTAAAATCTTCAAACAACTTATTTTATAAATTTGAAATAAATTTTTCATTAAATAAGATGATTGTGTCCAATCATATCCAATAGTTACAATTGTTATAGAAAGTTGCAAAAGACTTTATTTTACACAAATTTTTATTTGAATTAGCTTAATTAAATTTGAATTGAAAGCAAATAGTTAAGAATCTACTTTATAATTCGAATTAAATTGCATTTTTTTAAAACTTGATTTACTACAGACTTTTATGCATTGTATTCGATTTTATACAAAATAAAAATAAAATTTTAATTTCAAACATTAAATATGAGTCAACAATAAAGATGATTTCTATAATTATTTTCAAATTTCAATTGAGTTACAACTTAATTGCATCATAAGAAAATTTAATTATGTCATAAGTTGCAACTCAATTGCGTTATTTTTTAATTATAGTGCCTATCTTTAGTTAACAAACATGTTTATTCAATCCTAAGTTTAATAAAAAAAACTAATATATAACTCGCCAATAAATAAATATCAGAAATTTCTAACACTTATATATATAGCCTTATGGTAAAGACAGGAAATAATACCCCAAAACATGCTGATGCTTGCTGTGAAGCATTATAAGAATGAAATAAAATTAAAAATAAAAGTGCAGCAGAAATCGATAATTTAATCAGAAAATACTTGATCACTCAATTTAATTTGTATGATATACAAATCATGAGACCAAAATGTCTTCCTATAATTAGAGAAGAATTAACTCCTCTATTTCCTAATATTTATTCAATAAAACTTATATCAGAAATTTCTATTACAGCTAATTTATAATTCATGAACCATTAATAATTTTTCAGTTGCATTCAATTGCAATATTTTATAGTAATTTTATTATAAAATATTTTCAGTTGCATTCAGTCGCATTTTATTAGTGTTTCACAAATTATGAAATTAGCTGTAATGCAACAGCTCAACAATATGTGATAAGTAAAATAACAATAGTTGAAAAAAAACTTATTGAATATGAGTAAATCTAATATCATAACTGAATCTCAATTTCATCATAATACATATACAAAAATAGTAGATCTTCAAACTTAAGTTAAATCTAATTAAGATAGGATTCTTAAATTAAAAAGAAATGTAAAATATATTCAAAATTGTAAAGAAAAAAAACAAAAGATACTTGCTGAAAATCAGGAGGTCATATAATATGATAGATCCAGTCATCTACCTTCTTTTTAAACATTCAGAACTACATGATCATATTCACAATTTGGTTGAATTTAGTTCATCTGATAATGATAAGAAATAACAAAAAGAAATTGTAAAAGTTTGGGTTATCAATAATTTGCATAAAAGTCTTAAGAAGAAATATAATGTCTATATGATGCAAACTATACATGAAGTCAAAATGAAAATCCAAAAGTCTAAACGTTTTGATTTTGAAGGTCAAAGTTGAAATAAAAAGTCAAAATGGTCGAAATGACATCATATCATATGACTTTTATATATAGAAAAAATAAAAATAATAAAAGATGTACAATCTTAGTCAAAATTGCTCTGATTCATATGAAATAATTACCATTTGATTTCTCATAACTAGACAAATCCAATGAGCTAATATTTAATGATTTTAGATCAGCATTTTTTTTTAAAGATACAATAATGCATTTATTTATTATAAAATATTCATAATCAGTTAAAATAAACATGAAAATCCCCAAAAAAAATACAAAAATAGAAAAAATAAAAAATGCTACCTAATAATCATCATTAGTAAACTAATTCCAATTAGACCAACTGGTTGTTCTGTTAGGCTCTGGTAATAATCATTAGTAGAATTACCATCATCATCTAACTAAAGAAAAGAAAAACGTTTGATAAATAGTTACTATTGTATTAAGAAGCTAGACCATTTTTGGCCATGTATAAATGATTTAGTCATTAGAGAAGTATGATCATATTTTAGATCAGAGATAAAAGGAATGGTATTAATGAAACTATTGATAGTGAAATTGTTTGATAAGCTGTAATTTTATTTTTACTGTATTTGGAAATATATGAAAGAACATTCTTTTCTATAGTAGCTTTGCATCTTGATTTCCATATAATTTCATAAGTTTAATCAAAAATATAGTTATAAAATGAAGAGAAAATTTTAGCTGTAATTGATAAAGAATGAGTAAAGGAATCAAGTAATTTAGAAAGGGCAGTAGAAACAATGCCTTTAATAAAATCTATGAAGTTGAAGTTATAAGAATTCTTTTTTAATGTCCAAAAAGGATGAAAGAAAGTAAAAGGAAAGTGATGTCAGAAGGGTAAATTGATTTAGAAGTATATATAAAGAGTTGTTGTTTAGAACTAGTAAAGCTGCTATTATAATTAGTTTCATCTCTTTTTTGATATCAGGACAAATCTAAATGTGGTTGAAGTTTTCTCTATGAATATTATAACAACAGCATTTCTATAATGAATTATAAATTGCAGATTGAGTCACTTTTATGAATTCAATAGTAAAAAATTATTTAAAGAGGAATTTAAGTCTTCTATAGTGTAACAATATAAATACTTGTAGTAACTTTTCTTTTATAAATAGTAGCACTTCTTCTATAGATAGTACTACTAGCAGCATCTTTTCAATAGATAAAAATATTAATACACTTTTCTTATTAATAAAATTAATACTAGCAATAACAACCTTTTTATATTAAATAGTAATAATAGCATCGAAAGTAAAAATGAATATAAATGTAAAAATGAATATGAATGTGAAAGTAACAAAAAATTAGATTTTACTACAGAAATTGTTAAACTTCAGTATAAAAAATTTTATTTTAAATAATAAATATATATTTTATGTTTTTATATTTTACATTTCAATTTTTCATATTTATCTTTTAAAATCTTATAAATTAATTTTTACTATTTTTAGATTAATTTAAACTTTAACAGTGTAATTATTTTAAGCTTTTAATGTCTATTTAGATGATCAGCCATTTTATCAAATCTGATCTAATAATTATCATATTAATTAATTTATACATTTAGTTTATTTAATTTCTTTCGTTTAACTTTTACTATTGTTTCTAAAAAAAATTATAAAAATAATATGCTGTGATTAAAGCTTTGAAAATTCCAGTTCAGTTCAGATTAGAGGCTAATCCAATCCGATCTGTGATTTTTGGTTCAGTTTAATTTAGATTATAAATCCAAAAATGTTAATCTGAATTGAACAGATCTAAAACTTTTGAATAATCTGATGTGATCTGAAAATTTTGGATTAATCTAAAATTTCGGGTTATTAAATACTAATAAAAATCGCTCTGATAGTTTAGATGTGATTTTTGTTAGAAAAAATGATAATAAATTGCTTTCAAACTGTCAGGTAACTTTTATTATGAAAAATAATAATAAAAGTCACATTCAAACTGTCGGATGTGATAATAAAAGCTGCTTTTGACAATTTGGGTGCAACTTTATTAGAAAAAATCACATCTGAAGTATCAGAGGTATACATAAAGTCAAAATAAAATCCAAAAGTGAAATGTTTCGACTTTGGAGGTCAAAGTCAAAATGAAAAGTTGAAATGATCGAAATTATGTCATATCACATGATTTTTATATATAGAAAAAAAAACAAAAGATGTATGATCTCGATCAATATCACTCTGATTCATATAAAACAACTATTATTTAATTTTTCATGACTAGACAAATCCAATAAGCTAATATTCATTGATTTTTGAATCAGCTTTTTTTAAGACGCAGTAATGCATTTATTTATTAATACAATTCATAATCAGTTAAAAATAAACATGAAAATCCCCAAATACAAGAAGTACAAAGTAAAAAAATAAAAAATGCTGCTTAATTATTCTTATTAGTAAACTAACTCCAATCAGATCAACCGGTTATCTCGTCAGGCTCTGATAATAATTACTAGTAGAATTACTATCGCTACCTAATAAAAAGAAGATAAACATTTAACAAATAGTTATTACTGCGTTATAAGTAGGAACTATTTTCGACTGTGAATGTAAGATTTAGTCATTAAAGAAGTATAATCATATTTTAGAACATGATTAGAAAAAAAAGAGTTAGAAAAACTATTGATAGTAAAATAGTATAAAGGACTATAATTAAGTTTTTTACTATATTGCAAGATATTAAGAGATCATTTTTTGTCTATAGTAGCTTTGCATCTAGATTCCCAAATAATTTTATACGTTTGATCAAAAATGTAGTCGTAAAAAGGAGATAGAATTTTAGATGTAAGTGATGGGGAATTAGTGAAGGAGTCTAGCAATTTGGGAAGAGCAATGGGAGTGATGCCTAACTAATTATTATTATAAAATAAATAAATTGTTTAAATGTGAAATAAATATTAATAAGATGTCTAAATATTAAAAATTTTATTTTACAGATTTTTTGATTACTTATAACTGAAAGATTACTGATTTTTTATTAAGTAAGTTGATTTTCGTTAGTATTATAAGTTGAACAAATTTAAGCTGATTGTATAAAACTTTTAGTTAAAATATTACTGAATTTTATTAACTAAGTCAATTTTGTTTGTTTCATAAATTAAATAAATTTAAGCTGATTGTATCAAATATATTAAACAATTAACAATTATTAAATGATGATTTTTTATTGAGTGGCAGTTGTATTGAATATTATATTTTGACTAATATTCAACACTTTAAAAAAGTGACAAAATGGATTATTTTGACTAGTGTAAAGGTAATGTATAAAATCTAAATGAAAATTTATATATACAAGTTTATAAATTATTATTAAAATAAGAAAATCATAACAATTTTTACCTTTTTTATATATAATTTATCTATTTTTAGTAATAATTTGTGTATATTTTATGTTATGTAATATATACACAAAAAATTAATATGCAAATATGCATATTATATACATAGATTTTATATATTGATTAAAGGAATAACTTTAACTTTATTTTATATAAACTTTATATTTATTTTACAAATAAGTAAACTAAATTAAAATATTAAATAAATTTATAGAATTAGCAAATTTTTATCATTAAATTGTGAAGCAGGCAAATTTGCCTACGAAATTAAAAAATATGTTAATTTTTTATAAAATATTAAATATTAATTTTAATAATATCATTATTATATAAAAAAATATAGTTTAATATATATTTTATCAACTTTATTAACAAAGATTTCAAGTTTTTTAAGAGGTTTTTAAAATAATCTAATTTTAAAATTAAGTTTCAAACAATATCTTATAATTCTTCAAAAATTTATATGTTTACATACTAATTAAAATCACTTTATCATTAATTAAAATCATAAAATTTCTTAATAAATTATAAAAATTATAATAATAAAAGTTTTACTTTATAAGTAATTTTATAATATTCTATTATGATTAATATAATTAAAAGTAAATACTAAAATGTTTATCATAGATTAATCATGAAATTTTTTAATATAATTTTTTTTTAAAAATTACAAATTTTAGCTTCTATGTAAACTTAAATTTTTTAATATATAATTAAAAGATAAAACTTGTTATAATTTATTATATATATATAAAATTAATTTAAAAACAAAAAATTTTTAAAAATATTAATTATTTATAATAATTAGTAAAAATGATTATTATTTTCCCCCATGTGACTGATCGTCATATAATCTGCGATAAAATCATAATATCGAATTTAAAAATATATACCCTATGGCCTCGAGAACTAGCGATACCGAAGGTAAAATTATGTGTACTTAAAAGTTTCCCAAGCTAATTAAGTATACTAACCGATGCTGTCATTTTCAGATTCAGAAATTTCTTTTCACTCTTACTTCACTCGTTCCTCTCGCTCTCAGTCTTCATCCCAGACTGCTTATCAGACTAATTCCCAACCTACTTCCCAATATACTTCCACTATCAACACTCCAACATCCTCACAAACTATACAGGAGAAAAAGCAGAAAATTTCCAACTTCTCTCTAGAGACATTAATTTAGCCAGGGAGCGTTTGCTCACTTTACCACAAGTAGAGGAACATAGAGAATACACGGGATCAAGCGAAATTACTTTAAAAGAAAATGTTTCGCTTGAAGCATATCTCAATTATCGTGAAAAGAACCCGAATAACCCAAATAATTCAGTTCGCATATATTTACATGATGGAAAAATTAAGGCATACGAAGTACCTAAATTTCCTCATTCAATGGTAACATCAATAATCCAAATATCGATGGGCATCTGGAATAACGAGGACTTGGAGTATGGCAGTGATGTAACTATTACTGTAGGGCAAAATAATGCGTGTGAGCCTGACTTATGGGTCCGACCAGTAAGGCGTCCTCAACGGATACCTTATAAAGCAGCGGACAGATTTGGAGGGGCGTATCCAACGATGATAGTTGAAATTGGTTACACTCAAAGCCTTCCTGACTTGCATAGAAAATTAGCACTTTACTTTTCTCAACAGACATCAATTCAGATTGCGCTTATTATTAAAATATTTGATCTTCGTGCAGATAAAACCTTTGTACTAATTTCCGCGCTATACCTTCGTACAAACCAAAATCCTCTGATCCCGGTCAATGTCGTATCTTTTGGGACAGCAGATCCTACGCAACAAACTGTGAATTATATCATTAATACTATGAATGTGCCTCATAATAACTTTATTGGTGTTGGACGTACTGCAAATGGTGTTAATTGTCCTCCTTGCAATATGACTGAGATTCCAACATACAAAATGAACATTCCTGCAGCAGAGCTTTTTGATGGAGATCCTAATACCATTCCCGCGGTTGCAGCTGAAGGATTTAATCTGGATCTCTGGAAACTTCAAGATAAAGTACGAAAGGGATTCAATGTATAAAGTTTTATCAATGAGTATTTAGGGTTGGTCAAAAAAAAAAATTAAGTAAAAAATATTGCGTTGTTGCTTGTTAGCATATTTTATTTTATTTTATTTTATTTCAAATCAATTCATTTATAGCAGCAGATCAATTCTAATTTCTGTAAAAAAAATACAATACAGATTAATCAAGTTAAAAAAAAAACAATAAATTCGATTATAATGAGTATTTACCCACATTTCGCGTTTGTGTTTATATTCTTTGCATGAGATAAAGTTTGTGAATTAATTAATACAACAAACCAGTAGTATTTCTCGAATCCAAATAAAGTTATGTAAATGCCTATCCATGACATACGCATTAGGCGAGGTGAAATGAATCGTAGAGGTACTGTAAGTATGAATCGGAAATATTGCATTGATTATTTTTTAACCTCAGTTGGAATTTATTCTGTAGGTTCGAAATTTGTTAATCTCTCTTGCAGGAAATAATCTTTTACATAGTGGTAGTGATATAGATAGGCGTATATATGGGTGGATTCGGAAATCTGATGTTTACAGAAGCAAGCGTAAGAATTTAGCAATAGACATAGAAAATAGATATTTTTCGAAAATCTGAGAGATTGATGTTGGGACTCTCATTTATGGCCTAGGATCTGAGTACTCCCTCCCTCCCTTTTTGATAGCATCATATTGTTTCGCAATCTCTGCCAACTTCTCTATATTTCTTAGCCGTAAAGGCGTTGTGTATATCTGAAAAATATAATAAAGTTTCGTTTTTTTCTCATATAAATTTTTATAGAATATGTATTACAAGAAAAAAGTTGTTAACTCATATCCCGAAATCTATGATTGAGAAACGTATTCTGTATACGGGTGGTGTGACTCAGTTTCGGAAAAAATAAAAAATATTCTCAGTTTTATTAAGTCAGGTGCGAAATAAAAAATTCGAAGTGCGTAGTACTATATTCGGAAAATTTAAATTATTTTACAAAGATTGCGTCACATGAAAATTTTCCGAGTATAAACTAAATCATTTATTTCAAAGCCGGAACTATGCGAGGTCTCACATGTGATATCGTTCGAATTTGTGAAATTTACACTATATGATATAGAAATAAAGGGAGTTTGAGGTGCACATCTACACTACACATCGTACAGAAGTTATTTTTTTATCTTTTTTATCGGATTAACTAGCATACAATAATTGTGATAAAGCCTATGATACAAACCTACAGCCCGAAATATAAACATCTATTTTATGCTTTAAAAAATATTGCTATTTGATAAAGACCTCCAAGTTTCCAAGGCATTAAGAGCATTTGGTCTATCATCACTTTGCATTTGTACCCCAATATCAATAATACTTTGAGGAAGACCCATGATAAAATGGTCTGCATCGGTTATTAGTTTTCCTACGCTCCATATGTCTACTTCTCCACCGTGACCTTGTAAAAAAACTTCTGGTGCATGATTGGTTTTTTCGAGATGGTTTGCTGGTCTAGTTTGTGGACGATCAGCATCGTCCCAATCTATAAGGATCCATTTCGGTGGTTCACCAGATAATTTTATAATGTTGGGCCACCGGATGTCTTGATGGAAAATTGGATTGTCGCCACCATGCATAACCTAAGTTGAACATCACGGATGAGAAGTGTTCGGCAAACACTCATTACCAAGATACTTACCACCAAAGCCTCGAGCACACAGAGAATAGCTTCAAAGAGTTCCTTCAGACTATTTGGCTTTACACTCATTCCTTTTGGCCCCAGATACACCACTCCATTTTCATTATTAGCACAAATAAGTCGATCAATATTTGGGACACTTTTCTTTGTCAGTATGTTGTAAACATTCTTGAGTTTTTCAACACGCCAATCCAATTCATCAGGAATTTTGTAGGTCTTTTTAATGTTCGTGCCGAACACCTCGATTGTCTGTTTATCTCTGCAATATTATTGGAAAAAGGGACATCAGAATATAAAATACTTCAGTGACAAGTTCCCTCAACTCACCTAACAATTTGACTGAACTCAGGTGATTCACGCCATCCGATCACGTCTTGAAGTGACTTGATTAGAATACTTAGATTAATCATTCGTCGCAGATTAATGATACGATCCTTCCTCAGACTTAAGTTTGAATTTACAATGGTAGAAATCCTTGGTTTGTTACCAGTAGACAAAGGCGGGGAAAGGGCAACGAATGTTACGTCTGGCCCATTGGCGTAGTAGCCTGTGACAGAAAAATAACGTTTAGAATGTAATCATTTTAAAATGAGCACACATCTTACCTAAAATATACGGAGCTGGATCGTAGATCCAAGTAAGTTTGTCAATAAGTTCGTTTCTCGGATCTTCATTATTGATGAGTGATTTCTCCTCCCCTCTAAACGGACAAACATGACCGAGGATAAAACCAAAATCTGGCCGTTTTCCAGGGGTGCTCGTATGCTGAGAAGAATTACGGATAGTAGTACCATTGGAAATAAGGATTTCCAGAAGGGATCTGATATTGTTGTCCCAAAAATGGACGAAAGAATACTCAGTCCCCTCGCGTGAAGGTGGATTATTCCGAATTGGAGAGCCAAGCGTCTTAGTAATGAATTCGTAAGCACTCTCAGTATCGCTGATCCGGAATAAGATATTGAGATCTTCTGGTGTGCACGTATCTTCCATACTTTGAATCAAATAACTATTATATTCATGTCGGAGGATAGGTATCTTCATATTGTCTGAGAGAGGCTGTTCAAGGAAGTCAGGAAGTTCGTTAATTTCAGGAAGCGTCACCTTAGGTCTTTTATTAAAAGCACCAAGAACTTGAGCACTGACATCTTGGACTATAAGTGTAGAGCAGAATTTGTAAGAAATGACGGAAAATGCAAGTAATAATGGTTTTTACTACAAATTCTTACTTTCTTCCGTGAACTTTCTCTTATACTGATCTAATTGTTATAATTGTTATAAGGTTTAGAATATTCGAAGGTATTAGCAAGAAGACAAGTTAATCGACAGTATACCATACAGTGTAAAATAGAAAAAGAGAGGAAAAAACGTTGGGAGACACTTACCAGTGGTGGTAGCAACAATGTGGATTTTATTTCTCGTGGGTTCATAATCCTCTTGAAAATATTTTATAAAGTCGTATTCAAATTCCATAGACTCGCCTCCAAGTTTTTCAATATCTTCTTTAGTAGAACCAGGATTAAGCTTACATTTATCAACGTCAACTTTCCAAAGATTCGAAACTTTAAAATTTCCTTTACAAGCGATAAGTTCCGCGAGTTGTGCAACTATTAATTTATCAAATGGAACTTTTTTATCATTACCAATTTCGAAGAATTTCTGCTTGTTATTGTCATTGTCTTCATAAACTTCAACAAGGATAACGCGTCCAATATCTAGACGTAAACAACTGTAAGAGTTAACCATTTTGATTGTGTGTCTGTAATGATAAAATATTTTAGAGAAAGAGATCTAGAAAAAGAGGTTTGAGAAAACTAGAGGGTATATATATACTTTTCTGAATACATCGTGACTAATAGTAAATAGACTCTTGATAAACTCTGATTTACTAGCTTGTGCTACGAAAAAATGAATAAGCATAGCAAAAAAGTAAATTTACAGTACGCGGAGAAAAATGATTAATACGGTTTTATCATTACTCATAGATCATTAGATTTTGATTCTCCGACGAATTCTCAGGGTATTTATAAAAAAAAGGTGAATTAATGTTACGTAATTTTTAGGTCGTACGATTGACCGTATTTGACTAATCAGTGTGGCTTTTTGTATGATCGCAAGTTCGCAACACAATAACTCTGTGCAATGTAACGACAATATTGTTACGTATTTTTTTCGGTCGTACGGTTGACCGTATTTGACTCCCCAATGGGGCTTTTTATATGATGAACGAATCACAGTTTGAAAAAAGCGTCGACGAAGAAATTTTTTCCGGTTGTGGTTGTGCATTTACAAGAAAACGACTTCAGAGCTTGCAAACTAATGACATTTTTCGTACAGATTTCTGAGGACTTTACTAGCATCACGAAATGCAAGCAACATAGGTTAATTGTTAATTTATTTTCCGACACTGCATATATAACTGATAACATTTTATTTTATCCAGATTTCAGAACTATGATATAAATGAAACTGGATTATGTAGTTAACGTTGGGATAATATGTTAGTATAGGTAGTTTAGACAAACGGAAAGACTTGTGGTCTGTAAATTTATGTATCACAGTTACGAGCCGAATCATGAAATTTATTTTCTGTATCAATAAAGAATTCAAGCTGAAAATGCTATTATACATTGTATCAAGTATATTTTTCATGGGATATGGAATAAAAAAAGTGAGACCTAAAGTCCCACTTTGGTAAAATGCATTTTAAATAAATCGCGTCCTATATGAAAGTTGTTATCGAAACATACAATCCGAACTTGATTCATTGAAACAACGCATCGTCGAGCTTCTGGCTGAGAATGCTGAGATTAAGGCCAAGAATGCCAAGGTTAAAGCCAAAAATGCTAAATTAAGGCAGGCTATGGAAGAGAATGAAGCCAGATTCGTAAAACTAGAGCAGAGCGATAAAGAAAGGCTGAGCTCATTGCAGAACTAAATTGTGATGTCGGGAAAATCAAGCAGAAGCAAATTGCTATTAATGTTTTGGTGCAAGATGGGACATCTGTGGTAAAATCTTCCACTCGTTCAGAATTACAGGTGACTTTCCAATCATCCATTTCACCGCCTATTGAGGGTAACTCTGAGAATAGCTCCAATGTAACTCAACACACATGCAGGGTCTAAATTATTAGAGGATAGACAGACCGATGAATTCCTGATTTCGGTAAGTAAGAAAGAGGTTAGTAATATGATGAGACGACGCAATAAAGAGAAAAAAACTTTTGCGTGGATCAACACATTCAAGCTAACTCAATTTCCTAGAATAATTCATCTATGCCCCTAGAAGATTCTGCGGAAACTGAAACCAATACAAGCAATTCGCAATCATCAACCAAATTGAATGTTTGCGAAGCAGGAGAAGCTCAAATACTACCCAAGAATACAAAAGTTTCCCATGATTATATAGTAGCCCAAGATTTTATACAAGAAGTATCTTCAGAGTTGATAGATGGAGATGATGTCCAAGTTATTGATGGAAATCAGGAGCTTACAACTTACATGACAATAGAAGTTGAGCTTGCTCATTTATTTTTAAATGTAAGTATCGAAAGGAAGAACACTACGCAGGCTAAACAAAAAGAGATTTCATGTCACTACTCATATGGGAAAAGGTTCGAAGAAAGTGTTCAAGAAATTATTGCCAGAGATAACGTTTCAGATAAGACGGTAAGAAAACAATTATTCTAGGATATAACAAAGTATTTTTCTGGAATAATACTGAAAACCTTATGTAAAAGAATCCAAAGGGCCATAAAGATTTACAAACTGTTCAAAAAGATAGGAGTAGATAGAATTAAGAATATCAAATCTTACAGTGCGGATTCTGTTTCAAAGTTTACTAAGCCTCAAATCCAAATTATTTCAGTGGATCTTGCTATGCTGATATAGAGATAAAAAAACCTAACTCATACTCTGAATGCAAAGATATAGAAAAAGTGAGACCTAAAGTTCCACTTGAGAAAAGCCAAGTGTCTGCCCCAAAAAAATTACTAGATGTTAAGATAAGCATTCCGCCTACTTCTCAAACTTCGAAACCAATCAAACTAATGCATTAGAGATGCAAAAGAAATACTTGAATTCAGTTGAAGTAAGTATATCGGCAAATGTATCTTCTTTCGATCAATCTAATCCAACCTATGATCACACCTATTTTCATAACAAGATATTGGATCAATATCCTAATCTATATAGAGAATGTAGTAGTGAAAATTTTGATTATTATGGGATTACTGATGAGACATTATGCGGGGTCACCATCTGCCTATTATGCAAATTAGGTTATGATGATGAAGAAATAGAAGGTAGATATAAAGTCGGATCTTACTTTATTAAGTGTGAACAGCGTAAAATTGAGATAACTGAATAGTCCTCCTGTTCTATGAGTACGGGAGATGATCTATTTTTTGGAAGTATGATAAGAAATATTAGACAGCTTTCTATCTGAAAATTTTTAATCTTTTTTTGAATTAATGAAAAAAAAAGGATTTAAATTGTTTGCAGTCACATAAAAATGGAAATGACCAAGTCTGATAAAATATTAACCTCTAAAGGTCTAATTTTTTTTTCATATGTATCAGGTGAATCGCTAGGTAAAAATTTTTCTTGAGTTAATCTTTGAAAGGCCACTTGCTGACTACCTATTGTTTCACGTTAATATTTTGCTCTCATTTATGAATATCTGGATTGGCATGTCAAATTAATTGGTTTATCAAGCATTTTGACAGATAAGATTCGTTCCAATTTATATAAAAAATATAACAAAGAAACTGAAAATGGGCCATGGCAATTATCAGAAGTCATGATAAATATATCAGAAAAAATTCAAACCTCTGATTTCAAGCCTATCACCTTCGAAGCTAAACCTAATTCAGAGTTAATTATCAAATCTGTGTTAGAGTATTTCATATACTTAAAATTTTGAAATAGTTTCAGAGGGATTGATAATTATAATTTTGCATCACCTTAACCGTAGAGCTCACCATACCCTATTTGCAATGGAAAATATGAGAATTACGAATTATATAGCGAATGGTATGAAACAGAATATTGTCTTACTTGTTTCACTTCAAGCAATAAATTTAAATTCATGATTGTAGCATAGAAACTCTGTCATGTGAGACCGATTACCTGAAATGCGCAGTATAATATTCTGTCTTGCAAATATATCATATCAAAATGTGAAAAAAATATTGGTGAAAAAAAAAGCGTATAAAACATTGCGCAATTAAGGTGAGAATATTCCGGTTGTGACTATGCATTTCAATGAAATGACTCAGGATTACAAGCTAATGGTTAGGGTTCTGCAATTTGATTTGATATTTGAATATTTGATTTGAAAATCAAATTAAATACAAATTCAAATTTACATTTGATTTGATTTGATCAAATTCAAATCAAAGAATTATTTATTTGATCAAATACAAATCAATGTTTGATTTGATTTGATCAAATTCAAATCAAGTATTTAAATATTTGATTTGATTCGAATTAATAGAATTAATAGTAAAGCTATCTTCAAAGCTTCAGAAGTGATTCTTACTAAAAAACCCATAGTAAAAAGCGTCTCCGCAGCTTTGAAAATGCCTTTTTACTAAGAAACCTAGTAAAAAATGCCTCTGTGACTTCAGGATGCTATTTTACTAAAAAAACATAGTAAAAATACCTCCGCAGCTTCAGAAATGCTATTTTACTAAGAAAACATAGTAAAAAACGCCTCCGCAGCTTCAGAGAGTAATAACCATCATTACAGTTTCAGTTTACTAAGAAAACTTAGTAATAACCACCATCACAGCTTTGGTTTACTAAGAAAACTTAGTAACAACTGTCATCGTAGCTTCAGTTTTACTAAGAAAACTTAGTAATAATTGCTATCTCAGCTTCGTAACCATTTTATTATTAAAAAAATGTGTCTGAAGCTGTGGAGGTGTTTTTTATTAGGTTTCTTAGTAAAAAAATGTTTCTGAAGCTGCGGAGGCATTTTTTTACTAGATTTCTTAGTAAAAAACGTCTCTGAAGTTGCAGAGGCATTTTTACTATGTTTTTTTTAGTAAATAGCATCTTTGAAGCTGCAGAGGCATTTTTTACTAGGTTTCCTAGTAAAAAACGTTTTTGAAGCTGCGGAGGCGTTTTTTAATATGTTTTCTTAGTAAAATAACGTAGTAAACTGAAGCTGCAATAGCAGTTATTACTAAGTTTTCTTAGTAAACTGAAACCACAATGGTGGTTATTATTAAATTTTCTTAGTAAAACTAAGATTGCAGAGTTATTTTACTAAGTTTAATAGTAAAAATTCACCTATTACTAAACTTACTTTATAAAAGCTATCTTTGAAATTTTTTAGTGCAATTACTATAATTTTCTTAATTAAAACTTAGAATAACTTTATTTTAATATATCATTGTAAAATTAAAAAAATTTATATTCAATTCAATTCGATCAAATATTTGATTTGGTTTGATTTGACAAATATTTGATTTAATTTGATTTGATACGATCAAATTCAAATTGATTCAAATTGATTCGATCAAATATTTGAGTTCGATTCGATTTGATTCGATTTAATTTGAAAAAATCAAATCAAATTCAAATTGCTTAAATATTTGATTTGATTCAATTTTGAGAAGCCTTAATACCTACTATTAATCATACCTTCATAGGTACCATTTGTTGACAATATGATATTTGTTCATTACAGACCAATCTCTTGACATAAATTTTAAATTCAATCAGTTCACTATGCTTAC